TAGGGGAAGAAACTCAAGGGGCTATGGAGGTTCCATACAAAAAGGAATCTGCAGAGGTAAAAGCCCTAGTGACTTCAGACAAAAAGGACTTTGCGAAGGCAGAAGCTTTGGCTATGAAATTAGCAAATGAAAAGACTTATTTGTGTCCGGAATTGAAACCGACCAAAGGGTTTATTTCTTTTGCTAATACCATGTCGGCTAAAGGGCTGATGAAAGACAGGCTTAGCACTCAGCTGTCAAAACCTTTGGTTCAAGATTATTTAGGACCGAAGACACCCGCTAAAGAAGCCGTCTTTACAAGAATGACATTTGGTAAAGGCTCAAGTTTGAACATGAAGGAGGCACGACCAAAGACGGCCAAGAAAGAGCCTAATGCCGATATCACCATCCCAAGTCCAAAAGCCTCAAGATTGAAGAAGAGGAAAGTATACAAAGGATCCAAGCCGGAGGCCATCGTAGCAGAAGTGAAAGTCACAAATGGGAAACGGATTTGGACTGTTACCACGGCTGACCAGATCACCATCATTCCCAAGGTGACACGAAAGCCTCATATCATAAAGAGAACGAAAAATGGATTGTGAATGAGCCGAAGCTTTCCACTAGGAGGGCAATAAGTGGACTCACTAGGACCCAAAAGAGGCGAGCTCAACGAAGAAAGTTGGAGGCTAGTATGGAGGAGGGAAGGTCGCATGAGCCGCCTCAAAAAAGAAGCAAATTGTAGGGCCGCTTCCAGAAAGAAAGCAGGCCATGGAGCCACCAAGGAAGCAAGCAATGGAACTGCCTTTAAAACAGAAGCAGGCTATGGAACCGCTAAGGAAGCAGGCCATGGAGCAACCTTCAAAAAAGAAGCAAGTTGTAGAGCCGCTCTAAGAAAGGAAGCAGGCCATGGAGGCGCCAACGAAGCAGGCTGTAAAGCCGCTTCCAGAAAGAAAGCAGGCCATGGAGACGCCAAGGAAGCAGGCCATGGAGATGCCAAGGAAGCAGGCGATGGAGCTGCCAAGGATGCAGACTGTGGAGCCGCTTTCAGAGAGAAAGCAGGCTATGGAGCTAGTTTCAGAGAAAAAGCAGGCTGTGGAGCCACTTCCAAAAAGAAAGCAAGTTATGGAGCTGCCAAGGAAGCAAGTTGTAAAGCCGCTTTTAGAGAGAAAACAGGTTGTGGAGCCCCTTTAAAAAAGGAAGCACGCTGTGGAGTCACTTTCAGAGAACAAGCAGGCTGTGGAACCACTAAGGAAGCAAGTTCTGGAGCTGTTTTCAGAATGGAAGTAGGTTGTGGAGCCGCTTTCAGAAAAAAAAGCAGGCTATGGAGCCGCTAAGGAACCAGGCTATGGAGTCCTTTCCTAAAAAGAAACAAGTAGAGAAGCCTCCGGAAGAAGTTCAAGAGTTAGAGGAAGTTGTCGTTGACGAAGAGCCTATCTTTGAATAGAATGATGTGGCAACAATGATAGAATATAGGAGGCTCGGGCCTGGCCAAAACCAACATGTCAAGCCTTTGCACATTCGGGTCTCGATGAATGGCTATCCTCTTGACCAAGTTCTGGTGGACAGTGGAGCTTCTGTGAATGTGTTGCCAATTGAGACCCTACGGAAATTCGGAAAGACTTGTGATGATTTGATTTCTACATTTGTGCGGCTTACCGATTTCGTGGGAAATTCTTACAAACCGGCAGGTATGATCACTTTGAATGTGCAGGTGGGGGGACAAAGGAAATATCATCAAATTTCATAGTGATTGATGGTAGGCCATTCTATTCGGCTTTATTGGGACGGAATTGGATTCATGCATTCGAGTGCGTGCCTTCAACACTCCATCAAATGTTGATGTTTTGGGATGGAGATGAAGTCCAAGAAGTGAAGGCCGATGAGGATCCCTTGTCGACAGAAGTGACCACAATTGATTCAAGTGAACGGCACAAGGCAAAAGGACATGGGCTCAATGGACGCAATAGCCCAGCCCTTTTGAAGAGGGCATTGTTGGACACGGGTCCAAAAGCACCTGAACGAGAAGGAGGCTCAAAGACAAAAGTGGTGCCAGAGCTCATTGGCCATGGAACCGCTCAACAGCAATGGAGCTTCAAGCCTCGGAGCCAAAGACTGTTGCGTCCACAAAACCGAAGGCAACAATTTTCATTGGATTGTGGTGCTTCCACAGGGCCAAAAGTAGAGGAAGGTTACCTCCACAAGATAGAAAGCAACAGCTTCCACAGATCATGGGATAACTACCTCCGTTGGCCCTGGGTTAATAATTTCGTACTTAACATTAGTGGAGGACCTATGCATTCTCATGCTTTATTCAAAAAGCTCCATGGAACAAACCAACAAGAGGAAAACCGAAGATTCCATTTAACTCGAGGCTGTTGGGGATACATCCCCGTGGATCGGCTAGGAGTACGATGGAAACAAGTCGGAGTAAACAATATATCTGGTCCGGAGGCAATGGAAGAAGTTCAGAGCAAGTGGAACCCGGTCCAGAGGCAATGGAAGCGGCTGGGAGCTGATGGAAGAAGGTTACCAGGTGGTTAGGAGCTTATAGAAGGAGGTTACCAGGGAGCTGATGGAAGGGGGTTACGAGGTGGTTAGGAGGTAGTGGAAGGAGGTGATTTGGAAGTTGGAGGTAGTAGTGGGAGGTTACCAGGAAGTTGGAGGTAGTAGCGGGAGGTTACCAAGTGGTTGAGAGTGGTGGAGAAATAATTGTAACCGCCCTTTAGGGGGAGAAATGATTATTCTAACTTAGGATTACAAGTAGGAAAAAGAAACACAACACACACACGCACAAGAGAACAATTCGTCTATTTTCTTACTTTCCTTTCATGGTTTATTTTCGTTTAATGCATTTTAATTCAAATTACATACTTTTATCCGCTTTCCAGTAGATTTATCCGAGTTTTAGTAAATGTTAGTTTAAATCCATCGAAATCGGTCATTTAGGCTCGAAGCCTTGTGGACGATTGAAGCTGTGTAGGTTCCATCCTAGGAGCCGCCTCCAATCCGACGACGGACAGGCTCTTTGGAGTACTTCCGGAAACCACACCGACAAATCGACGAACGTTCTTGGAACCTCCGAATTTCAGGATCCAACAGACCCACTCAAAACCCCTTTAGTTCTACATCTCTCCTAAAAAAATAAATATTTTTATCTATATTTAAAATTACACATCTTTTATAAAATTGATTTATGTTAATTATAAATAAACAAATATTTTTTTTTATTTACTTGTATAGAAAATTTTATTCTCTACAAAATGATATCCATATTGCATATATTTTTTAATTGTTATATAATTTTTAAATATTTAAACATATATTTAATTTTTTTAATCATATATATTAAATTTACTTTAAAATTATACATATTATTAATTATACAAAAAATAATATAATAATGTCATAACTAATTATTATTAATTAATTAAACATTCCCACCTTAAATATGGTGTCCCTAATCAAAGGGTTAAATTCCGGTGGGACGGAGGGAGTACTATTTACTATTATGATTTTTTTAAAAAAAATTATATTATTTCAATTTTACAAAACATGACATTTAATTTATTATTTAAGTATTTAATTTTTATGATTTTTTAAAAAAATTATATTATTCAATTTTACAAAACATGATATTTAATTTATTATTTAAGTTTTACTATTATTTAAAAAAATACACTAAAATTTAATCTTACAAAATATCGTATCTAATTTATTATTTAAACAAAAAAGCTACCAAAAATATTTTTCATAAATTTTCACTAGTTAAAACTCTTTTTCCCGAATTAATAATTTATTATTGACCTGTTCATCATTTTTATATTTTTCAACTAAATGACCTGTTTTACCAGAATTTTGCTGCAATTTCATTATCTACTTGTATTTTTTTTGTAATTTTATTCAAGGTATGAAAGGCCCTTAAGGTAGCACAATAGAAAAGGTGATGAATTGGGGGATGTAGATTTGTAGGCAATGGGGGAAATGAAGAGTAAATGAGGGGAAAAAAAGTACACTATTGTATTTTGTTATTGTTGAAAAAACCTTAAAAATATGGTTGGCCCAATACATTATTTATAAATAGCTAGAAATTTATGAAAGACCCAAAATTAGATAAACTCTAACTAGTAATCAATAACGTGCTACTAAAATGAAGACCACGAGCACGAGCAAAATACTGTCTATGAAAACTTCGTCTCATGTCTTGATTACTTCCATCAATTTCGATGTTAATCATTGTACCACATAAATAATGCAAAAATAGGAAGATTATCAGATATTCTATATTACGTCACTATATTTGAACAATTAAGTGAACAAGCAAATTAAACACGGAAACCTTTAGGCAGAATTTCTGCTGTATTTTGGATCCTTATTAAAAATTTCAAAAACGAACACTAATTAGACCAATATAGAAAATGGTATAAACAAAGAACATACAGTACTATATGGTAATCCAGTTCAGCCAGACAGCCAACTAATATGGGTGCAAAATTATTATTGTATGTGTGATTTACATTATATATGTCAATCAAATTAAATATTAACCCAACTATTTTGTACAGGAAGGAACAATCACATCTTAATAAGGATGACCAATTCATTTGCAATTCTGGTATGTGATGGCTGAACTGAACTTCATTTTTATGCACTCCACCAAGATCAAGAATAGTAAGAATCTACCATTGCTCTCTATATGTCTTTTTTGGCATAATGAATGTCGTACAGAGGAGATTCCAAAGACGTAAAATTGGTTCCAACATTGTACATGGTTTAAGTACGTCATGTCGTACTTCCAACATCACATCAAGGTTGGGTGGGTCTATGCTATTTTATAAAGAGGCCTCATTTTTATGTCTGTATTTTATTTTTTTTAAAAATTTATTCTACATTAATATCAAAATAATTTTTATTTTTAATTTAAATTATAATAATACTGTTACATATATAATTATTTTATGCAAAAAAATCAACGGTAAAAATATTAAATTTTCTAACACACTTTTATTTACTCATAAAATACAAAATATTATTATTTTTTAATTTAGTACAAAAGTCGAAAGGTCCATTTCAAAAGTAACAGGGAATAATATTTAAAGAATCAATACAATCAACATTCATTTGGAAGCAAATTTTTGCACACAAATCACAACATCAATCACTGCAAATAATAATAATAGTAATAATTATCAAATTCTGAAATTAGCTTATGACCATAGTGGCTGCCGCTTAATTAATTCCTTAAAATTGGGACACTTGTTTTCTATTGAAGAACAGTCCCGAAGGCCCATCATCACCCAACAAGGCCAGCCTCACGGGGCTTTCTGCACCTTGTTCGACCGTCAGAAAGCCGCTGTGGTGGTTCATGTCGGTTTTAGTGAATCCAGGGCACACCGCATTGATCTTACAGCTGGGGTGCCTCTTGGCGACAAGCCTTGTGTAGGCAGTCAGGACTGCCTTTGAGATTACATATGAACCCGAACTTGCAGGCCACCCTTTCTCTTTTGCCACCCCATCTTTCACATCTTTGAGGTATTGATTAGCTACCTCATCCAGTTTTTCCTCTGTCAGGTTCTCCACATTGCTGAGGACCCCTTTAGCCCATTCATGGGATACATTCTGGACACGCACAAAACACATCAATGATTTTTATATTGTATTGTATTCTAGACGTCAAATTAAATTAAACAAATATAATGATTCCTATTATATATATATATATATATATATGATACCTGAAGCATCGCCATGACAGAGGCCATGTTGACAATCCTTGGGGACTGAGAAAGCTTCAGCAGAGGGAGAAGAGCCTCAGTAGTCCTCTTTGCTCCGTAATAATTGATTTGGAAGGCAGCTTCTGCTGTTTCGTAGGTCTCAACTATGATCTCACTCCAATTGACCTTTGAAGGGTCCTCCGCCATAGACGCAGCAGCTCTCATAGCCTCGCCGTCGACGTTGGCTCCAGAAACTCCCGCGTTGTTCACCAAGATATCGAGCTTCCCAAATTTGGATTTTATGAATTCAGCAAAGGCAGCGACGCTGACTGAATCTGTCACATCCAGCTGCTGGAAAATTACTTGACCGCCGCCATGGCCCAATTCTTTCAATTTCTCAACAGCTTCGAGGCCCCTATTGTGATCCCTAGCAGCCAACACCACAGTAATGTTCCCCTGAGTCGCCAATTGCTTGCAAATCTCGAATCCTATCCCTTTGTTTGCGCCCGTCACAACAGCATACCTATGCACAATTATTGTTGAATATCATCAGATAGATTATATATATATAAACATTTTAAATTATAAAAAAAAAAAAAAAAAAAAAAAAAAAAAGGATAGGAGAAGATGGTGTATTACTTGTGAATTGCTCCCACCATAATTGCAGCTGAAAGATGAATGAATGAATAACGAAGGTTGAGTTGTATTTTGGAATTTTGATGAAATGGGTTTGAATTGGGATTGGCGTTTGTGGTGGATACGTATTTATACAGAAATGAAGAAACTTCTTTTGTAGATGGGCTGGGTTTATTATATTATTTTAATTATATTTTATTTTATTTCCACGCGTGGAACTGGAAGAAGGCTTTTGAAGAAGTCATTTTCGGCACCAATCACATTTGCAAGTTTAGTTGACCTCTAGAAAGAAAATGGGAATGTACACATTCAAAGCTACTCCAGGGAACGGTGGTCCGGATTAAGTATATTTGAATGTGCCTGGCTACACATTACTAAATGCATTAATGTTTTGAGAATATGATTTTGAATATCCAAAATTCGTCATCACACATGTCTACCGTTGAACTTGAAGTTGTGTTTTGTAGCAGACAATAATTCAGCATGCATATGTACAATCAGGGACCGATCCCAACCCCAAATTATAGTAACGTTTTTAGCGTAAAAAATATATAAATAAAAAATTAAAAAAAAATAATAATGCATTTTCTCTTTCTTTTTTTCTTCACCCAATTATTGTTAGAAATTGAAAAAAGATGTTATCGTATTGGAGGTGTTTGAAATATTTTACTTATTCAATTTTAGATTTAGTAGATTTATATTTAGATTTGGTCATATCCATAGATTAAATTACTTAGATTTGAGTCTATCGAGTCTGTTTTGTATTGTCTCTATATATATAGGCCAATTATTTTGATATAAATAAGACAATTTTATTATTTTCCTCCAAAATTTCTAACATGGTATCAGATTTATTTTTCTCATGCCGTAGATATAGCCTACTAACCTGCGTTTCTCCGGGTACATTCAACCTGAATTGTACCCGGAAGTCTTGTGATTTTGAGATCATGCAATCTGAAACATGTTTGCGATCTATCATATGTCCGCTGCTTGTCTGTTGCCTGCGTGCGATCTGAAACCTGTCTGCGATCTACCATATGTCTACTACTTGTCTGTTGCATGTGTGCGATTTGTCATCTGTCCGTTGCTTGTCTGTTGCCTGTGTGCGATCTGAAATTTGTTTGCGATCTGCCATCTGTCCATTGCTTGTATGTTGCATGCGTGCAATCTGAAATTTTTCTGCGATTTAGCATATGTCTGTTGCCTGCGTGCGATCTGTTTGGTGTTTGCGATCTATCTATTTTCAGCTCCGGTAAAGTCGTCATTTTCGGCTTCGGTGGAGAGTCAACTGTTTTTAGTCATGTCGTTTTCGACTCCGATAGAGAGTTATCTCATTTTCGACTCCGGTGGAGAGTCATGTTGTTTTCGGCTCCGGTGGAGAGTCATCTCGTTTTCGACCCCGGTGGAGAGTTATCTCGTTTTCGACTCCGATGGAGAGTCATCTCGTTTTCTGCTTCGGTGGAGTCATGTTGTTTTCGGCTCCGATGGAGTAATGTTGTTTTCGGCTCCGATGGAGTCATATCGTTTTCGGCTCCGGTGGACTCATATCGTTTTCGGCTCCGGTGGAGAGTCATCTCGTTTTCGACTCCAGTAGAGTCATGTAATTTTCGGGTCCGGTGGAGAGTCATCTCGTTTTCAACTACGGTGGAGAGTCATCTCGTTTTCGGCTCCGGTGGAGAGTCATCTCGTTTTTTGCTCCGGGGTAGAAAGTCATCTCGTTTTTTTTTTTAGTTTATATTCAACTTTCTTATCAAACTCAAGTTGGTTTCTGTTATACCACTTGAGTTTGAGGGGGGATGTTGGAAATATTTTAGTTATTCAATTTTAGATTTAGTAGATTTATATTTAAATTTGGTCATATCCATAGATTAAATTACTTAGATTTGAGTCTATCAAATTTGTTTTGTATTGCCTATATATATAGGCCCCTTATTTTGATATCAATAAGATAATTTTATTATTTTCCCCAAAAATTTCTAACAGGAGGAAGTAAACCAACATCGTGTCCCTGAGTCTGGACGATGGTTGTATCACTGTGTATACTCATTGATGTTGGTGTGTTTCCACTCGACCCATCCAAATCTGACCCAATCTTGACCCGAATCAGATTGAACCGACCAATTTGATTTAGATTAAATATCATACAAACCCTATCTAACCTAGCCTTTTTCTATTTGTTTTGTGTTGTTACCGTTGCTTGAAATTTTTCAACTGGATAATAATCAAGAGCTTCTTTTTAGAGGAATTAAAGAGATTAAATGTTTAATTTGTACCAAACGCAGTGTCCAGACATTTGATAGTAAAAAGATTGAAGAAGAAGAAGAAAGTGGGAGAAATTTAAATAAATTGCAGTAAATAAAAGAAATAATAACTTTAATTAAGATGTTGAAATTTTAGTTTTTACGATGATTACAATGCCTATTTATAAAATCTAAACGATGTGCAAATCAACGCAACCCTATACTATATTAACAATGCAAAGAGATGCAACTCTTTGATAAAAAAATAAATAAAATTAAATTATGTTATAATTTTCTAAAATTTAGAAACCAGTATAAGATAAAATAAAATAAATATATTATTTTAATGTTGGGACGCCTCTCTCCTATAAAGTGTACGCCGACTTTTTAAAATATATCTTATATTTTATAAAATACGCTAGGCCTTTGTATATATATTTGAAAATATATTAAGCTTTTTGATAAAATAAAATAAAATAAATATAATATTTTATTAGAGTTTGGGGGTCTCTGCTTCGGTAAAATTCGCCCAAGCTTTTGTAGAATATATCTGAAAATATATCTAGCCTTTTGATAAAATAAACTAAAATAAATGTAATATTTTATGAGGGTTGAGCGCCCAGGCTCTTGTATGAAAATACATCCAGTCTTTTAAAATCCAAAATCACGCCAACACCTTTGTAAATCAAATTTGACAGCACCCGAATTATCTAAAAAAATCTGACAGCACGCCACCCCTCTGTAAGTTAAATCTGACAGCGCCTGGATTCCATAAAATATATTTGGCAGCACGCCCACACCTCTGTAAATAAACCTGACAGCGCCCGAACTATCTAAAGTATATCTGGCAACGCCGCCTTCTTAAAACACGCCGGGGCCTTCGTAAAATTTCTGATTACACCTTGCCTTCGGTAAAATATATCTGATAGCGCCTAAACTATCTAATCTAACATGGTCCGAACTATCTAAAATATATCTGGCATTGCCCAACCTTTTAAAAACACGCCCAGGCCTTCGAAAATATTTTTGATTATGTCCGGATCTCCTGAAATACACGCCCAAACCTCTGAAACATACGCCCATCCTTCTGCAATCAACTGACATGCACCGCCTGCACACCTATCCCGACATTGTTTCTTCTATTCCGACAGCTTCTACATCACCCCGGGCAACTTTCGCATCGGTGTAGATGACTTTCGCACCAATGCAGGCGACTTCTACAATACTCTAGACAACTTCTGCATCAATCCAGGCGCCGTCTATAATTGTTCGGGTGATTTCTGCATCAGCCCTGGTGCTTTCTGGATCGGTCTGGGTGACCTTTGCATCAGTTCAGACGCTATCTGCATCTCTCTGGGCACCAATGCATTCTATTTGGGCACCTATCTAGGCGTACTACGCTCTTGTGGTTCCAGCTGTCATCACGCCTGCCAATCTTGCACAAACCATAACTTTATGTTAAGTTGTGCCAATCCGTAATTAATTTTAGGTGATAACATAGGCCCCCTTCTTGTCATATGGCTGAACCTGTTGAAGCCATGTGACAATAAAAATTCTAGAATCTCATAACTCACTCCAGGGCACGGTTAGACGATAGAAGATGTCGTATCTACTTCCATCATCTTAATCTTATCTTTGTCACAAAGTATTAATTGTTGACGGACAGTCGATGAATTATAACGAGTATAATGGATCCAATCCTTGACTTGGTTGACGATGTCTCTGGTATTTTCCAATTTATATGGTACACTTACATTTTTATCCTCGGATGTAGTCTAGCCGATGTACCTGATTGAGTGTGTGATAATCGTTCGAGCTATACTTTTGACTATGGTACTGGCAACTAACACACAAATCTCTATTTCTGTCTCAAATTTTGCATTGTTTTTCTCACGCCAGTATAGAGACCGTCCTCGAGGCGTTATGTTGTCCTGAAGGGGTACCTTCCTTAATAAAGTCGGTCCTGCCATTATAGCGGCGACCTGAACCTCAGGGAAAGGTTCATTATTCACTTTCATACCGGCGAGTTTGAGAAACCCAATTAAAATGAAGGCAATTTGCGGTGGTATATTGAAATGAATTGTGCCATTTACAATATATTCGCCTTTTGATTTCCTGAGGCAAAGCCAATTTCTAACCCCTAGGGATGTGGATTTGACGTCCTTTTAATAGCTCATTGAAAATCACATTGGCCTGGGTGATATCAAACAAGAAATCCTGGTTCAGTATCTTGGGCGGCACGGCATGTCTTTACCTTTTGGAGTCTTAAGATTGAAGCAAGTGTAAGGCTTGCTCGGTACTAGTTTTGTTGCGGCCTCTTCAATGCCATCTAAAAGTTCATATCTATTTATCGTATCCTCCATATTAATTACAACAATCTAGTGTCTGTCTCGTTCGCCTTTACTCTCTTTTCTCATGAAAAAGACGTTCCAAGCGTGCAGCCTGGTTCTCAATTGCGTGCCTCGAGTCTTTTACTTCGTGGGCTGTAAATGGATCACAAGAATGCGGCAACATGTTTTGACTTCTATATTGGCGAGTTTGACTTCACTTATAATTACTGGATATTGAGTTTTAATTCACCTGATTTTCTCGATAAAGGCAGCGGCTGATTCGCCGAACTCTTGTTTGGTTTTCATTAAATTTGTGAGTGTAGTTCTGGTACATGACTATAAAACCTGTCATGAAACTCTTGCTCCATTTGAGCCCGATTTTGTACGGATTGATACGGATAGATGAGTACCACGTAAACGTAGTCCTTGTAAGAGTTAAAGGGAATAATTGCAACTCGTAAAATTCATCAAGTGACAATTCCCCAATAAAAATTATAAATCTGGCCACATGTTCAACAGATGACTGGCCATCCTCTTTGGAAAATAGTAAGGGTTCTGGAATC